TACCTCCCACAAACCACCTCTACAGTGCATTTTGGAGGGACTCCTATAGATGGAAGTATTCCTAAGGCTAAATAGATGTCACCCAAGGGATACAGATAAGAGTACAGAGTATGAGTCATAACATACAAAGAATGGCGGAGGAAGAAAAAGGAAAAAAAGAGAACCTTTAGGTTGTGTTTGTAATAGCACACAAAGTGAGTTAAATTAGACTGTCAGATAGTAAGGGAATTACCCTTGAACCTTTGGTAATGGTAACCATGAATCTAAAGCCTGCAATGGCAATAAGTACATACCTATTGATAATCACCCTAAATGTAAGTGGTCTGGATGTACCAATCAAAAGACATAGAGTCACTGAATGGATTAAAAAACAAGATCCATCTAAATGTTGCCTACAAGAGACTCACTTCAAACCCAAAGACATACACAGATTGAAAGGGATGGGAAAAGATATTTCATGCAACTATCAGGGAGAAAAAAGCAGGAGTTGCAGTACTTGTATCAGACAAAATAGACTTCAAAACAAAGAAAGTAACAAGATACAAAGAAGGACATTACATAATGATAAAGGGGTCAGTCCAACAAGAGGATATAACCATTAAAAATATCTATGCACCCAACACAGGATCACCTACATATGTGAAACAACTACTAACAGACTTAAAGGAGTAATAGAATGCAATGCATTCATTTTAGGCGACTTCAACACACCACTCACTCCAAAGGACAGATCAACCAGACAGAAAATAAGTAAAGACAGAGGTACTGAACAACACATTAGAACAGATGGACCTAACAGACATCTACAGAACACTCCACCCAAAAGCAACACAATACACATTCTTCTCAAGTGCACACGGAATATTTTCAAGAATAGATCATATACTATAGGCCACAAAAAGAACTTCAGTAAATTCAAAAAGACTGAAATTGTACCAATCAGCTTCTCAGATCACAAAGGTATGAAACGAGAAATAAATTACATAAAGAAAATGAAAAAGCACACAAACACATGGAGGCTTAATAACATGCTCCTAAATAATCAATGGATCAATGACCAAATAAAAACAGATCAAGGAATATATGGAGACAAATACAACAATGATTCAACAACACAAAAATCTGTGGGATGCAGCAAAGGCCGTGCTGAGAGGAAAGTATATTGCAATGCAATTCCTGAGGCCTACCTCAGGAAAGAAGAACAATCCCAAATGAATAGTCTAAACTCACAATTAATGAAACTAGAAAAGGAAGAACAAATGAGGCCCAAAGTCAGTAGGAGGGACATAATAAAGATTGAAGCAGAAACAAATAAAATTGAGAATAAAACAATAGAATTAATGAAAGCAGAAGCTGGTTCTTCAAGAAAATAAACAAAATAGATTAACCCCTAGCCAGACTTATCAAGAAAAAAGTCTACACACATAAACAGAATCAGAAATGAGAAAGGAAAAATCACTACAGACAACACAGAAATACAGACAATTATGAGAGAATACTATGAAAAATTATATGGTAACAAACTGGATAACCTAGAAGAAATGGACAACTTTCTAGAAAAATACAACCTTCCAAGGCTGACCCAGAAAGAAATAGGAAATCTGAATAGACCAATTATCAGCAAAGAAATTGAATTGGTAATCAAAAACTACCGAAGAACAAAACTCCTGGACAAGGTTTCACTACTGAATTTTATCAAACATTTAGTGAAGACCTAATACCCATGCTCCTTAAAGTTTTCCAAAAAGTATAAGAAGGAACACTCCCAAACTCATTCTACGAGGCTAACATCCCTCTAATACCAAAACCAGGCAAAGACACCACAAGTTACCAAAGGGAAAGGGACGGGAGAGGATGAGTGGGAAGGGAGAGATAAGGGGGAAAATGGGGCATTACGATTAGCACACATAATGTAGTGAGGGGGACACAGGGAAGGCTATATAACACAGAGAAGTAGTGATTCTATAGCATCTTACTACGCTGATGGATAGTGACTGTAATGGGGTTTGTGGGGGGGACTTGATAATGGGGGAGTCTAGTAACCATAATGTTGTTCAAGTAATTGTACATTAATGATATCAAAATTTAAAAATTAAAAAAAACACTAATAATGAAAAAAAACAATGAAACATTGCTGAAAAAAATTAAAGACAAATAAATGGGAACACATCATGTTAATGGATTGGAAGAGTTAATATTGCTAAAATGTCAATACTAACCAAAAGTGATCTAAAGATTCAATGCAATTCCATCAAAATCCCAAGATGATTTTTGCAGATCTTAAAAATCTTGAAATTCATAAGGAACCTCAAGGGATCTCCAACAGCCAAAACAATCTCGAAAAGGAAGAATACTTGAGGGCTTACTTTCTAATTTCAAAACTTAGCATAAAGATACAGTAATCAAAACTGTATGGTGCTGGCATAAAGACAGCCCAGAAATAAACCCTTGCATATAATGTCAATTGATTTTTAACAAGGGTTTCAAGACCACTCAACAGGGAAAGGACAATCTTTTCAACAAATGGTGCTGGAAAAACTGGATATCCATATGCTAAAGAAAGAAGTGGGAGTCTTAACACCATATAAAAAAATAACTCAAAATGGATCAAGGACCTCAATATAAGACCTAAAACTAAAACTCATAGAAGAAAACACTGGACAAAAGCTTCACATTAGATTTAGCAATTATTTCTTGGTATGCTACAGGTAACAAAAAATAGACAAATTGGACTTCATGAAAAAATTTTAAATGTACACATCAAAGGACACTATCAATAGGGTAAAAAGGAAACCCACAGGAGAAAATACTTGCAAATCATATTATTACCCAGTAGGATGGCTACTATTAAAAAAAATGTGTTAGCAAGGATGTGAGAAATTGGAATCCTGGTGCACTGTGGTGGGAATGTAAAATGGTACAGTCACTGTGGTAAACGGGATGGTGATTTCTCAAAAAATTGAAAATAGAATTACAATATGATCCAGCAATCCCACTTTTGGCTATGTATATAAAATAAATGAAAGCTGGGTCTTGAAGAGTCATTTGTACATAAGTTCATAGCAGCATTAGTCATGATAATTAAAACATGGAGGCAACTCGTGTCTACTGATGGACAAATAGATAAACAAAATATCCATCATTAGGATGGTAATGTATTATGTGTATTTTTACCACACACAAAAAAGTCCATTATATATATATATATATATATACACACACACACACAATTTTAATGTTTGAGTATTGGAAAATGTCTTTCCTATGAACGATAAAATTTTTTGAGGATCAACTCAAATGAGAATTAAGTCAAATGCTTTTAATTCAATGTTTGTGTGTGTGTGTGTATACATATATATATAATGGATTATTAGCCTTAAAAAGGAAATTTGGCAATATGTACATAGATGAACCCTGATGTCATTATGCTAAGTGAAGCCAATCACAGAAAGACAAATACTATACAATTCCATGTATATGAGGTATTTAGAGCTGTCAAAATCATAGAGACAAAGTATAATGGTAGTGGCCAGAGACTGGGGAAAGGGGATAAAGGGGAGTTATTGCTTAATGGATAGTTTCAGTTTTAAAGATGAATTAATTTATGGAGATGGATGGTAGTGATGGTTGGACAATGTGAATGTATGTAATACCAGTGAACTGTACACTTGAAGATGGTTAAGATAGTAACGTATTATGTGTATTTTTACCACAATAAAAAAAATAGTTCAGATGGATCAATCACCAAGCACAAAAAGGAACAAAATCTTAAAAAATCAATATATATAAAAATCATAAAACAGCCTGGCAAAATGCCAGTAACAAGGTAAAAATGAAGATAAACAGAATTATCTGTAATCTTTAATTGCAAAAATGAATTTCCTAAATACTAGAGCTCTTCAAGAAAAATAGGCAAGGACAATACAAATGACTCTTTAAAAGATTGTAAGATATATAACCTTATCTAGAAAAGAAATGAAAATTTAAACTAAAAGGAGACACCATTTTTTTTCTATTAGTTTGGCAGGGTCAAAAAGTTTACTGGCATGGGTGTGAGAAAGGAGGCCTCATATATTGGTGGGAGTTAGTAGGAGTGTGTATCAGTTAACTTCTGTAAGATGGTAACAGCAAAATGCTCATCTTTTTTACTTTACTTTCAATAATTTATCTTCTAGATTCATAAATATCCAAAGATATATATAAGGCTGTTCACTAAAGATTATTTTTGGTAGTGGTAAAAGACTAGAAACAATCTATCCACCAGGAACTACTTAATGAGTTGCTATGTATGTACTCATCCATGCATGTACATACACACACACACACACAGGAATACTATACAGCTATTAGAAAGAATATAGTCAGATAAAGATTGGTTTCAAAGATACATGGTTCAGTAAAAACGGAAGATACAGTACAGAAGAGTGCTCATAGTATACTCTTATTTGTTTAAAAATATGGGGTGATACAAACATACTTGTACTAATAAATGCACAAAATATTTTGGAAGAATACACAAGAAAGTGGTAAGTAGTTGATTCTGGGGAGAAGATAGACTTACTTTACAAACTCTGTACTGTTTATTAAAAAAAATGTTTTGCCCATTTTTGTTTAACTTCAATAGTCTACAAGCAAAATTTAGATTCAATGCTAATTTTAATGTTTATTGGAAAGTGTCTTTCCTATGATCAGATTTTTTGAGAATCAACTCAAATGAGAATTAAGTCAAATAATTTTAATTCAGAACCAAGTATGACATTTCTAAAGTAATGGATTATATATATACAGTATATAAATTTGAAGATATATTTCAATCATACAGTAATTCTAATCAATATGCAACATGATCAGAATCTATTACACAATCCCAAGGAATGGAAAAAAATGGAAATGGAAAAAATCACTATATCTTCCCAGAGATGCTGGAAGAAAAAAAAAAGTAGACAGTTGCTTATAGTGAAATGGCTTAAACTTAAAATAAAAAGCAATCAATCCATTTGTTCATTTTCATTGATAGTTTTATTCAGTTTTTAGAAAAATATATACAATAACTGGAACCTCAGTTTTCTTAAATAGTTTTAAATTAAAAGTGCGGGTAAGAGGATGAGTACACTTCCACAATCAGCACATCGATACTGCTGAATATGGTAGCAGACAGGAATTCTGCAGCAAGTAAAAATATTTACAGGAATGACAGGAAATAAGCAAGAGCAGCTTGTGGCTGGTAGGTTAGCTCAGACAACACAAGAGTAGTAAGGAATTTGATTTTGCCTCTTTAGTTTAAATTTAAGAATAGATTTATGTATTTGCCTACCCTAACCACTACTGCTTTGAGGAGGAACATTTGAATGTGGGGGTGGAGGCCTTAATATGCTAACAAGCTAACTTAGGTCAGTGTAGAGCTTGCCCTTTCAGTTTGATATTCCATTGGATTTAGATATGTTAGGATTACCTGTCTGCCACAGTTCCACTGGTAGTAGATGTAACAAAACTCGAAGGCTTAGAGGATTTGTTAATGCCATTTATTTTGTATTAGACCCCTGCTTTCTCCTGCATTCTTCTTAATGAATTCACAGTATCCCAACAGTGTTTGCAAAAGACATTTCAGTTTGGCAGCCATCTGACTTCTACATAGTTTCGAGAAGTTAAGCAAGAAGGCAGTAGAAAGTGCCTCAGCTTTGTTTCAGCTCTGCCCTTTATCCCTAACTAGTCTATACTATACTATATACTATAGTAACTTCAGGCCTACTTTTCCAGGAGCACAAATCTTTCCTCCACTGGTTCTGGGCTTTTCAAGGAGTCGCAGCCTCATCAGTGCACCAGCCAGAGGCCAGCTTGTCAAGGGGTTTCCTGAGAAGCTTAATCAGAACTGGATTACAGACCTGACACCAGTAGGAACCTTCTTTCCTTGCTGTATGCATTTGCTAAATAAGCAAAGCAACGAGGCAATAGTCATGAGAAACATGAGGCTTTGGGGTCCACAAACACTCATATGAGTGGGACAGAGATGTGACAGAAAGTATGCAAATTAGTAGTAGTGCTGGAGGTTCAATTAGGAATGAGAAGAGAGAGATCGGTATTTTGTTCTCTGTTCATCTATTTCCTGCTTAGTTTTCTTGATGCAACTAAAGATCTCCTTAAAAAGAGCTTTATATTCTGGAGGTGTTGTGGTAGGGGGGGAACCAATGGGCTCTGGGGTAACAGAGGCCAGTTCCCAGCTGCTGGTGCCGGGCTCAGGCTGGGCATTCATTCCAGCTGGGTCCCTGGCTGGAGTCCTGGAGGTCTGCACGGCCTTGTGGGACAGGGAGTCCTCTTCCTGCTGGCACTTCTTCAGCAGCTCTTCATACTTCACCTTCAGGGCACTGTACTGAGTGTCCACTTCATGCAGAAGGGAGATGCCCCTCTGCTTCACAGCCTTGGCCCTCCGGATGCAGGTCTCCTCATGACCCTTCATGATGTCCCCGCCTGTCAAGCTGCTTAGCACTGACTCGCTGCTGCTGCGCTTGAGAGGCTTCCTGTGTGCTTCCGGCCCAGTCGGGAGCATCTCCTCCAGCAGGCTCTGGCCAGATTCTTTGAAAGGAACAAACAGAGAGTCTGGCACCAGCCTCTCAACCCCATTCATGAAAGGATGTTCTGACTGCAACACCTGCCGCATCTCCGCCACCTCAGCCTCCAATTCCAGCGCCCGAGCTCGGTAGGCATCCATAGCCCCCAGCTGCTGCTCCAGGTCACTGTTCTCCTTCAGCACAAGCCCATATTCCTCCTCCACAGTCACTCGCTTCTGCCTCTCCAGGCTCAGCTGGGCCTGTAACATTGTCACTGTCTTCTTCAAATGCTCGTTTTCTTCTTCACCAGGGCTTTGCTGACTTTGCAAGGAAGTGATTTTCTCGGCAAACACATGATCATACACAAAGTGTCTAGGGGAGAAATGTTGAAAGAATATATTACAGAGGTCAACTGACAATGAAGGGAGATTGTTTTTTCCAAAGAAATATTTTTGAGAAGCTGTGACAGCGACCAATTTTTTGCCTGTTCCACACTGGAGCAGTAGCTAAAATGAAATTGTGTGAGGCTGGCAAACACATGTAAGAAAACATAGTTTTGGTGTCTTCTTTAAAAATATTATTGTACTGAAGAACATCCATTCCCAAAGACCAGTAGTATGACCTATATCTTTCAAGGAAATCAGAGTGGACCCTGTGGCTCTCAACCCTGGCTCCAGATTAGAACCACCTGGGTAGTCTTAAACAATATTGATACCTGGGTCCCACCCCCATCGATTCTGACCTTGTTGGTCTGTCACCTAGACCTGGGGCTTTTTTAAAACTCTCCATGTAATCATGATATGCAGCCAAGGTTGAGACCACTGCTGCAGTGATTTTGAACCAGGACTGCACAACAGAATCACCTGGGCAGCCTGTTACCCACACCTAGAGATTCTGATTTAGGCCTGAGGGAGTCATTGGTATTGCAGTTTGACAAATTCACAGATAATTTGATGAACAATCAAGGTTGAGAACCACCAAACCCACTTTTCAGAGTCCTAGGCAACCTGTAATTATCTATTTGTGTGATTATTTGCTTATTTGCCTCTCCAGGAGATTGAAGGCTCCATGAAGGCTGGAACTGTGTCTATTTTTTTCACCACTTCTCATGTCTGGTGTGGCACCTGCCATACAACAGGTGTTTAATAAGTGGTTTATAAAGATTGAATCTTGTAACTAAATTGTAAAGGCATTTCTATAGGCAAAAAATCTTGTTAGACTCAATTTTTGTTTTACTGAAATTTCAATTTTTATCACTCTATTGTGAAATACAATCCTAATATCTGTGGTCTATCAGAAGTCTAACTGCACCTTATTTTAAACTAAGATTTAACACATTAAAAGCACTGAAATAAATATTCCTAAGACTTTCAAAAATAAGTTTTCACCAAATTACTAATAGCCAAGAACTCTACCATTTGTACGTTTAAGTTTAGTGGTTTTATTCAAACCACTGGCAGTCTAAGAGCCAAGTGGCATTTCTTAGAAGGGCACTTTCAATGTACTGGAATCCACTAGTTATTAATGACATGAAACACTTCCCTGGCTTATAAATGCATGGAAAGGCAGTCTCTTACTGGCGGAGGTCATAGAGTTCCTTCAGACACGAGAAGCTGGGTGCTGACTTCTGGGTGCATTTCCCTTGACTCTTCCCTTGGCTGGGCAACTTCAACTCCTCCACTTGGCTCTGAAGGTGATCAATGTTGGTTTGCAGGCACTCGATTGTTTCAGTCAGACTGTGAAGAACAGAGAAAAGCCAACTGCTGCTTGTCATATTAAATTAAGGGCATAAGCAGTGAGGAGAAGAGATTAGTAGCCACTCAAATTGGGCTTTCTTAATTAGAAAGGACTTTTACTTAATCTCTATTCTCCATAAAGAATTAAATTAAACCTTACTAAATTGACCCAGACCCACTACAGCCAAGATCTATTCTAGTTTATGCTAAATGACTTACCTCTAGGGCTTATCAATGGATTCTAGAAAACTCACCTCAGAATCTTTTGCTGTGAGGCCTTGCTGTCAGCAACTAGCTTTTGATTTGTTTCTTCCAGTTCCCTTGCTGTGACATCTAACTGCTCATAAACCTTGGCATGCTGTTCATTCATCTGTCGTAGAAGCTCCACCTGCTTGGTTAGATACTGTAAGAGAAGATGACAGTGACCAGATCACACATTAAACAGCTAAGATACCTGTAGTGTTCCAACACCATTTCTCTGACTCCAAAACTAACCAGGTATCTTTTAAGTTAATTCTGACACTAACTTCCTGGAGTTTGTGACTCTGCAGGTTATAAGGACTCATTCCCACAAAACTGCCCCCATCTCAGATGCCAGTTGCAAGCCCCCGGGGCCACCTGTACTTCTGACCAAACAGCTATAAATTTGGGAGTTCCCTTGATCTCCTCTCAGGTTCCATTATTCACTAAAACAACTCACAGAACCCAGGAAAGCCCTTTACGTACATTTCCTGCTTTATATAAAGGGTAACAACTCAAACAGCCAAATGGGAGAGATGCACAGGGCAGGGTATAGGGCTGGAGAGTGGTGAGGGGACTTCCATGCCCTCCCCAGACACACCACCCTCCCAGCATGTCAATGTGTTCACCAACCCAGGAATTCCCCTTGCCTGATTTCAGAGTTTATTGAGGTTTCACTGATAGGCATGATTGATTAAACTATTGGCGACCAAACTCAGTCTCTAGCTCCTGCCCCCTCCCCAGGGGTTGGGTTGCTAGGCTGACAGTTCCGAGCCTATGACCATATGGTGGGTTCCTTCTGGCAGCCAGTTCTCATCCTACCACTGAGAAAATTCCACAAGTTTTACCTCTGTGCTAAGGACTGGGGACAAAGATCAAATATGTAATTTTTATTTATCACAATACTACAGATTTATTGTGAAAAAATAATTTAAAATCCCAAACTCATCTTATAGTGTAAATTACTGGCCCTAATGAATACAGGCCATCCTTAATACACTTAGTTCCCCTAATGTTTAGCAACATCCCATATATCATGAGGAAGGGCTACTCGTACAAAGCATACAATAAACATGAAATTAATATTCAACTGGAAAATATAAAGTGAGACATGATAACCCCACAAGAGAAAAGGCATGGAACACATAATCAATGTCTAAGCAAAAACCTGTTTTATAAAAATAGTCAAAAGTGAAGGATTTTAGATGATTATCACTTGAAAAAAATATCAAAATTTTTTCTCTGAGTGAGCCATTATGTACAAAAAATAGGGGGAAAAGCATTGATTCAACCAGAAAGATGTATTTTAGCTTAATATAATTCAAAGACTCTTATTATTTTTAATTCTGTAAGAATGTTACCACCATATTCCTCCTTATTCATGAGAAACTTGCCAGATTATTTTGGTACTGCTAAAACTCCTTTCTAAATGGCCAATGATAAAGGGGAATAATCACAGTCTGAATGCCTCAGTGGCATGGTGATTCTCTCCTCTCCAACTCCACCTGAAGACGCTGAAACACAGTACACATTCCAAATGAAATACTCACACTATTTCTCGGGAGCACAACTAGAAAGAGGAGAAAAGGTAGGTCTGAAGTATTACTGATGATCATCAAATGGTAAGAAGACTGAAGACATAACTTTAAGAATACTTTCCTTGAAGCTTTTTATACAACTATACAAGTATTTGCAAAGCTAACAGATTTCTTTCAAAGAATGGGCTAAACAATTTTCAAGGGGCTCTTTAAATGGCAGTGTGGCAGAGTTGAAAAAAAGCATGCATGGCCTTTTTTCAAATCCAGTTACATGACTTGGCAGCAATGTGTTGAGAAAACACTTCATGCTCATAATTTCAACTTTCTCATCTGAAATTCTTGGGGCCAAGAGTATTTTAGAAGAGCTTTAAATTTTAGATAGACAATGTGGCACATACACCATACACTTTATAACGTTCCCAATGAGGTCTGGGCAGCACTGTGTAATCAAGCATTAAAAAGCATGAATCTACATAAAAAAGCATGGATAATTATAAACAGCCTCACATGAGTTCAGGTCAGGGTTTGCTGCCAAATGAACTTGCTGCAAATTTAAGGAAAAAAAATTTTGTTTTACAGAGCCTTTCAGGTTCAGAATCGAAAATAAAGTGTTGCGGACCTGTTAGTACTTACCTTGTAGGATTAAAAGTATTAAGTGAGCTAGGTAAGCACACAGCATGGTCTCTGTGAAAACCTGTTGTTTATTCTTTACTCTCTTGACCAGCTTCTCCAAGGAGTATGCCTTTAATTCTGCCCTCTGGCTAGCAATGTCATAGCAGGTGCCTGTCATTGATGGGAATGTGTTCAGTCTCTTAGGAATACTGGAGTGGAGAAAGGCTTAGAATACAAGTACATAATAGCTGCCAAAATTTTGCAAGCTATCAAGTATAATTTAAGGTCTTAGTATTCTTTTGGACCAATTCACAGGATTAAAAAAAGGCCAATGCATAGACTGGAGACTAATTACTAATTTTAATTTACAACAGGAGATGCCTAGTGACTGGAATATTCACATCTTCTGTACGTCACATCTACCCCATAAAGGCCAGTTCCCACGGGAGTCTTTTTGTGGCCACAGAATCAGAGAAAAGAAACAGCCTGATGGGAGGCAGTTGTCTGATGGGTGGAGTAGCTAAGAGCATAGGCCTCGGGGTAAAAATCTGGTTTGAAGTACCATTTTGCCTTTTCTAACCAGGTGACCTGCAGCAAGTAACTTAAATTTTCTAAGGTGAGACTTCCTTATCACCTACCTCACAAGGTTGCTATAACATTAATAATGTACATGAAGGGTTCAGCATGGTGTTTGGCAAATGGTAAAAATGCTCAGTAAGAGGTAGCTATTGTCACATATCTACAGTTATAGTTTTCAAACTTCACAGATTAAATGGGGGTATTTATTCAGTATAAGAACCTGGGTCCCTTTCCCCTAAAATTCTGAGTCTGTGAGACCAGGGTAGAGCCAGGATTCTGCATTTTTAGCAAAAATCACAGGTGGTGTTAGTTCAAGTGGCCCATGGGCACCTATGAGAGAAATGTTGATCTTGGACATGGAAAATCCTGGAAGTTTCCTCCCTCCCAACCCAGTGTCTAGTTTTCTTGTATTTGGGAGAAATAAGCATTCACATGGATCAATAATGATTCTGAAGCTTAATGTCTCTGCTTTCCCTTCTTAGGACTTGGTTTAGTTGCAGTTAGTTACTAAGGTTAGGCTATCTTTTAACTTTATCACAGCAGCCTTCTTTTTTTTTTTTATTTTGATATCATTAATGTACAATTACTTGACCAACTTATGGTTACTAGACTCCCCCTATTATCAAGTCCTCCCCACATACTCCATTACAGTCACTGTCCATCAGCATAGAAAGATGCTACAGAATCATTACTTGTCTTCCCTGTATATACTGCCTTTCCTGTGTCCTCCCCACCGCTACATAATGTGTGCTAATTGTAATGCCCCTTTTTCCCCCTTATCCTTCCCTTCCCACCTACTCTCCCCAGTCCCTTTCCCTTTGGTAACTGTTAGTCCATTCTTGGGTTCTGTGATTCTGCTGCTGTTTTGTTCTTTCAGCTTTTGCTTTGTTCTTATGATCCACAGATGAGTGAAATCATTTGGTACTTGTCTTTCTCCACCTGGCTTATTTCACTGAGCATAATACCCTCTAGCTACATCCATATCGGTGCAAGTGGTAGGATTTGTTTTCTTCTTATGGCTGAATAATATTCCATTGTGTATATGTACCACATCTTCTTTATCCATTCATCTACTGATGGACACTTAGGTTGCTTCCATTTCTTGGCTATTGTAAATAGTGCAGCGATAAACATAGGAGTGCATATATCTTTTTCAAACTGGGCTCTTGAATTCTTAGGGTAAATTCCTAGGAGTGGAATTCCTGGGTCAAATGGTATTTCTATTTTTAGTCTTTTGAGGAACCTCCATATTGTTTTCCACAATGGTTGAACTAGTTTACATTCCCACCAGCAGTGTAGGAGGGTTCCCTTTCTCCACAACCTCGCCAACATTTGTTGTTGTTTGTTTTTTGGATGTTGACCATCCTACCTGGTATGAGGTGGCATCTCATTGTGGTTTTAATTTGCATTTCTCTGATGATTAGCGATGTGGAGCATCTTTTCATGTGTCTGTTGGCCATCTGCATTTCTTCTTTGGAGAAGTGTCTGTTCAGCAGCATTCTTTACCATGTTATATTTCTATATGTTCTTATAATCACAATTCCCTATAATTACACACTAGTTATCTTAACCTTCAGTGCTCCTTCCTAAATTCTCAGTTCACCCAAATACTGACTCTATAAATAGCTAATCTTTATCTACATTAAAAAATAAGCCTTTTTATTATAGATAACTTCAAACATATGTAAGTAGAGAAAAAATGGTTCAATGAGCCCCCATCTATCCATTATCCAGTTTCAGAAATTATCAATTTTATTATGGATATTTCAAACATATATAGAGAAAAACAGTTTAATGAATTCCCACCTATCATCCAATTTCAGAAATTATTAACACACAATTTTGTTTCTTCTCTACTCTCCTATTCTCCTTTTCTCCAATCATTTCAAAGCAAATCCAAGACACTTTAACCCAAGGATACATATTTCTAAGAGACAAGACCTCTCTTTTATTATTTAAAATTTTTATTTTGTTATCATTAATCTATAATTACATGAAGAACATTATGTTTACTAGGCTCCCCCCTTCACCCCTCATTACTGGTCCCCCCTCACAAACCCCATTACAGTCACTGTCCATCAGTGTAGTAAGATGCTGTAGAGTCACTACTTGTCTTCTCTGTGTTGTACAGCCCTCCCCGTGCCCTCCCCACATTATACATGCTAATCGTAATGTCCTCTTTGAGATAAGACCTCTCTTTTTAACCACAATTCCAATCATATCTTTAAAAACCCCAATAATATCTTAATATCATTTATTTATTTTTCAGTGTATATATTTTTCCAAATGTCTCTTAAATGGTTTTTCCGGCTTCATCTGTTGGCTACTCAGTCTTCCTTCTTTCATACTCAGGAGGTACCTTTGCCTTAAAATTGTGGAGCTGCCTCACTGTAAGGCAAGCTCCCCCTTTAGGACCTCTACCCTTCTCTCTCCCATCCCAGGGGATGTGCTTTTCCTGGTCAGCTCCATCTAATCTAGCAATTCTTAACCTGGGGTCCATGCATAGAATTGAGAGGGTCTGTGAATACAGAGGAAGAAAGTTAAATCTTCATTTTCATTAACTTCTAATTGAAAGTTAGTATTTCCTTCAATAATGAATGGACCAAACCACCAGTAATATGAGGGGTACTAGGGCTTCATCACCAATAGAAATAACAGATATTTTCACATCACCTGATAGTAATTGCAGGAATCTTGATTTATTGGCTACATTTATCACTATTTGAAATTTGTTTTTAGATTGCCATTAGACCTTGGTTATTTAACTAACAAGGAAGCACATTATTATATCACAAATGTATTCTTTCAATTTTGTGATAAGCATTTCATTGTAACATATTCTCTTTGTAGTTCTATGCATTTTAAGTATTTTAAGACGACCATCATAGACCTCTCTAAACAGCCAAAGGGATCCACAGCACAAATGGTTAAGAACTCTGATAATCTTTTAGGCCCATGTTCAAACATTAGCTCTGAAGAAGCCATCCCAGACCACCTCCCCCAAAATACCCTATTGATTTCCCTCAAAACAGTTAACACAATAATAAACAACCAAATTGTCTACTACTTGTTAATGATGTACTCTTTCTAAACCTCCTTGAAGAAGGGAAACCTCCTATATATCTAGTTTATTTAGCGCAATTCCTGACACACAGTAGGGACTAAAAAAATATTGGCTAAATGGCCATTTCTAGACCTCCATTTGCAACTTATACTCTATACCACAGACTGCTGAAATGTGGAGACTTAACCGAAATATTTTGAGAAGGGCCTTGGCTACAGACCTCTTGGGAAAAGGCCCTACTAGTTACTAATTATCTACCCTGTTGCCCTATTCATACACTGTTTCTATATATCCTTGGCATGGATACACCCCAGCAATCTGAAAGACATTTGCAATTCCTACCAGCTCTATGTGGGCTCTAAATTGTTGCCCACTTTTAAAGATAAAATGTTCAATTTGCCAATTAAAAGGAAACAAGTCAACAGGCAAATAAGTAAAAAAAGGTTACAGCAGCTCCTGCTTATTCATGGGGATACATTCTAACACCCCCAGTGGGTTCCTGAAACCAACCACAGTATTTAGCCCTATATACTGTTTTTTGTTATACATGCATACCTATGATAAAGTTTAATTTATAAATTAGGCACAGTTAGAGATTTACAATAACTAAAAATAGATTATAACACTATACCATGATAAACATTATGCAAACATGGTCTCTCTCAAAAATCTTATTGTTCTATACTTGTCAGTAAGTAGGGATGGATATCACTGAGCTACCTGAGCACAGACTTGCCTGCCCTCGCACATGGAAAAAAAGCTGTGAGTTGGAGGATTTAAAGCCTACTGCCAAACAGCACAGGAAGTGCGGGACCTCTCCCTGGGGCTGGAGATGCTGGTGAGTGCCACTGTTTGCATATAAGCCTGAACTATCAGGCACATGCAGTCTACAAAGGGGGGGTTCCTACACAAGGCCCAGAATTCAAGGCTAGGAAAGGCAGCCCTTTTGACGAACCTATAGAAACAAACACAGAAAGTCAAACAAAATGAGGAGACAGGAATATGCTTCAAACAAAAGAACATGACAAAACTTCAGAAAAACTAAATGAAACAGTCAAACAATATACCTGACAAAGATTTAAAATAATGGTTATAAAAATGCTCACCAGACTTGAGAGAAGAGTGGAAGAACTCAGTGAGAACCTCTAGAAAGAGATAGAAAATATAAAAAAGAATCAGAGATGAAGAATACAACAAATGAAGTAAAAAATGAAAAGTGTAAAGTACTCAAGCTGAACAGCAAAAAGAAAAAAATAATTAAAAAGGATGAGGATAGGGAAAGGGAACTCTGGGACAACATCAAGCATCCTATACTTGTATTATAGGAGTCCCAGAAGAAGAAAGGAGTAGAAAACTTACTTAAAGAAATAATAGTTGAAAACTTGCCTAACCTGGAAAAGGAAACAAGACATCCAGGTCCAGGAAGCAGAGAAGGCCCAAACAAAATAAACCCATTCATGATAAAAACTCTCAACAAATGGGTATAGAGGGAACATAGTAAAGGCCATGTATGACAAACCCACAGTCAATGGCAAAAAGCTGAAAAGCTTTTCTTCTAAGAGTAAGATACCCACTTTCACCACTTTTATTCAACAAAGTATTGGAAGTCCTAGCCATAGCAATTAGGTAAGAAAAGAAATAAAAGGCATCCAAATTGGTAAGGAAGAAGTAAAACTGTTAATAGTTGCCAATGACTATGCTATATATAGAAAACTCTAAAAACTCCTCCAAAAAACTAATGATATGAAAATCAATATACAGAAGTCTATTCTGTTTCTATATAGAAATAATGAACAGAAAGAGAAATTAAGAAATCAATTCCATTTACAATTGCTTGCATCAAATATAAAATATCTAGGAATAAATTTAACCAGGGAGATGAAAGAGTTTTCATACTCTGAAAACTGTTAAGACATTGATGAAAGAAAGTAAAGAAGACACAAAGAAATGGTAAGCTATTCCATGCTTATGGATAGGAAGAATATTGTTAAAATGGCCATATTGCCCAAAGCCATCAATGCAATCCCTATCAACATACCAATAGCATTTTTCACTAACCTAGAGGAAATAATCCTAAATTTTGTATGGAACCACAAAAAATCCTGAAGAGGCCAAGCAATCCTGAAAAAGAAGAACAAAGCCAGGGGAATCCACTCTCCCTAGGTTTCAAACTATACTACAAAGCTACAGTAATGAAAACAGTATGGTATTGGCATAAGAACGGATACATAGACCAATAACAGAATAGAGAGCCCAGAAATACACCTACGCTTGTATGATGTACAATGGGGAAAGGAAGTCTCTTCAGTAAATGGTGTTGGGACAAGCATGGACAGCTACATGCAAAAGAATAAAACTGGATTTGTCTTATACCATACACAAAAATAAACTCAAAATGAATTAAAGACCTAAATATAAGACCTGAAACCATAAAACTCATAGAAGAAAACATAGGCAGTGAATTCCTTAACATCAGCATTAGTAACTTTTTCTGGATATGTCTCCTAAGCAGGAAAAACAAAAGCAAAGATAAGTAAGTGGGTTTACATCAAAATAAAAAGTTTCTGCACAGCAAAGGAAACCATCAACTAGATGAAAAGTATAGGAGAATATACTTACAAATAATGTATCTGATAAGAAATTAATATCCAAAATAAAAAAGGAACTCATACAACTCAATATCAAATAAATAATCTGATTAAAAAATGGGCAGAGCACCTGAATAGATATTTTTTCAAAGACATACAGATGGTTAACAGACACATGAAGCTTAATATCACTAATAAACAGGGAAATACAAATCAAAACCATAATGACATAACACCTCATACCAGTCAGAAAGGTTAATATCAAGAGATGAAATTACAGGTGTTGGCAAGGATGTGAAGAGACAGGAACTCTTGTAACCTGCTGATAAGATTGCAAAGCGGAGCAACCAATACAGAAGGCAGTATGAAGGTTTCTCAAAAAACTAAAAACAAATACTACATGACCCATCAACTTCTAGAATTTACCCAAAGAAAACAAAATCACTAATCTGAAAAGACATATGCATTCCTGTTTATTGCATTATTTACAATAGCCAAAATATAGAAACAACTTAAATGTTCATTAATAGATTAATGGATAAAGAAGACATGGTACATATACACAATGGAATATTAGCCACAAAAAATGAAATCTTGCCATTTGCAACATGGATGGACCTACAGGGTGTTATGCTAAGTGACATCTAAAAAACAAAACAAACAAAACTGAAATAGACTCATAAATACAGAAGAGACTGGGGTTACCACAGGGGAGGGGCTGGGTGGAGCAGGTGAAGGAGAAAAAAGGCGAGAATATTTGGTATCTTGATCTGAGTGGTGGTTACATGAATGTATACACATGTCAAAATTCATCAAGCTGTAAACTAAGATTTGTGCATTTTACTGTATGTACCTCAATATAAAAAAATTTAAGAACAGACACAATGAAACCCTTACAAAGAACTTGTTATTATTATTATTATTAAATCAAACCTAATCAGAAAAGCCTTCACATCTCCAAGAATCTGTAATAGGTTACCTAACAAAAGAATCTGACTAAATTGGTCAGCAACTTAAAAGAAATCATTGGATCTCTCGGTAAGTACTGATACAAGGCCAGAGAATCAGAACTCTATGTAGTCAGACACTGCTTTAAGGCTTGACCTCTAAAACTTCAAATTAGTGTTCATCAAATTTTTTCTGAATCTAGAAGGAAATGGGTTAGCTTATTTTCTACCCTTCATTTAAAGGTACAGATATGCTTCTAATGTTCTGGTTTTCTCAATTCAGCATCATTGGTACATGGTCTTAAATGAATCTGACTGCACTAAAGATCCTAAAATTCAAGTGGCAAAAAGAGCTCAGGACAAAAGTATTAGCCATATTAAAAAGGGGAAAGAGACATTTTAAACAAAACATGGGGAGAAGGGGACATAAGGTTGGTAAAAACATAGGCAAAGATGTCAACTTATAGGCAAGAGTGTCCAACTTTAAGCTCTGTGGTTATCTCACACGTCTTGGAATCTTCACAGCATGTCACCTCAACTTTGAGTATATAAGGTTCAGATTATACACAAAAGCTATAAATAGGCCTCCATTACAAATCTTTGGAAAAGAAAGGCCAGCAGGGATATACCTACATATTTGCAATTGTAGAACCCCGACCTGGTATGCAGGAAAAGACAGACACAACCCAAACTAAAATGTATTAAGGAATGGAATGGAAATTTGGCTTTTATGCAGTGTTGGGATTATCCTTATATTAACAATTATAGCCCAAATCCTCTGAATTTAGTATCAAAATGACTTTTCAAATGCTTTAGAAATATTTCCTATTAACCTTGAGAAAACTTTGATTGCCAATTAAAACATTACAATTCCCCTGAAGGAAACTTAAAAAAACAAAAAAAACATGAATATGAAAATAAAAACTACCTATAATCTATTAAGACTTAGCTTGTTTTTTTTTTGAGAGGGCATCTCTCATATTTATTGATCATATGGTTGTTAACAACAATAAAATTCTGTATAGGGGACTCAATGCACAATCATTAATCACTTAGCTTGTTTTTAAGATATATTTTCTAGTAACTGAAAAGGATTTTTTTTTCAGAATTAAGATTCTTTTATAACCAAAAATCTTTCTTTTTCCTATCATTACCATTTCACTTATTTCCTTTTTCACACATCCATCCATTTATTCAACCCTCTATCCATCAATCAATCCATCTTATTCTTTGATACATTCTGTAGTAAATGATACTGAAATTATACTGAACACATCTAAGTATTTCAGCAAGCATGCCACTGACTAGTGATCCATATTTGTCTAGCAGTGGTCTCCTTTAGATATAAACTTTACAATGATATGCATTCATCTTGACATGTGTGGTTTTTACCCATTTTTTTTTCATTTACTATTTTATCATAAGCATTTTGCTTGGAATCACATTAAGCCAACAGATCAGTCTAGGAAGGCTGAACAGCTTGATAAGATTTGTCTTCTCACCTGGGAGCACGTCACATCTCCGCATCTGCTTTGTGGCTCTTTGTAAAGTTGAGGGGTTTTCATCAGACAGGCTCGTGCACTCCTCACACCAAGCTTATTGCTAGGTATTTGACGGTTTGTTGCATTTGTAAAAGGACTTTTCTCAATTTTAATTTCAAGTGACTACTGTCAGTATGTAGAAGGGTTTTTGTGTATTTAGTATCCAGCTAAAAAACTGAACTTTCTGCTGGACTGGAATAGCTTTTCCTAGCATTCTCTTGGTCTGTTTTAGTTATAGACTCAATTTAGCTGAATAATGATTTATGTATCCCTCTAGGATAATTATGTCTTTTTTTAATTCAAGTATCATTAATATACAACCTTATGTTGGTTTCAAATGTACATCACAGTGGTTCAACAGTCCTCATAATCAACTTACATTGTGATTGCAAATTATTGTGCCCCTTTATTCCTCACCCCTTCCTCCCAATCCTGCCCCTGCCCCTCCCCCTTGGTAAATAGTAGTCACACTCAGTATCTATAAGTCTTCTGCTGTTCTGTTCCTTCTGTTTTGCTGTTTTTATATTGCACAAATAAGTGAAATCATATGGTATTTGTCTTTCTCTACTAAAATTCTTAAAACATGGATAAACTGTGCACATTTACACTGTCCAAATATATACACTTACATAATCTCATTCCCTTAGAATCCTGTACCAATGTACTGCATTCTTATCACCATTACACAGCAGAGCAAACAGGATCTGAGGTAATCCACAAGCCTAAAATCTCAATTTGCTATTGTAATTGAGAGCTTAAACCTGAATCTTCTAACACTGAGGCCAGAACTCCTTCCACCTCCTTTAAAAATTTCCAGAGGTGGACATTCACGGTTTAGGAATTACTGGACGTGCTTTTAAACTGTTTATCTGTTCACTGTTAAGATACTGTTTTCAACAAGTATTCATCGATTACTATGTGTGAAAGGCCCCGTATAAACACTGCAACAGCTTTCAATGTTGTAATGAGAAAAGGTGAAGAGAGGAGAACAAAATGAGCAAGTCTAATATACAGGAGAATCATTGATAAATGTAGTAAAGAAAGCACAAAAATGCTTTAAAATTTCCCAAAAAGACAGGAGTTCTTGACAGAAGGGATGCCATGAAGGCCAGACTACTCTGAGTGTAGAACAAGTCCTGGATGCAGGTTTCCAAGCAGACAAGCAAAAAAAAAAACAGGAAGATGAAGGGTGCTTCCATGACTGTAGAAAACTAAGAGAATCCGACTGTGGATGGTGTCAGATCTCTTTAGTCTCCAAAAGCTTTTCTCGTCCTCTCATCCCAGAGAAAAAACTTGCTCTGGAATCTTGAAAAATTACATGCTCAGATCAACAATGAATAAAAGTCACACAGGCTTATAGGTGTCCCTGAAGCCAATCATTACTTTCAGTAGTTTATCTTTTTTTTGCATTAAAAATGATTGCTAACTAAAGAATGATTAATTTTTGAGGACTGTTGGAAATTCACTGAAAGACTTTGAAAAGCAAACTTACAAAATACACTTTGACAGTTTCCTAGTTGTTTGTTTCCATAATGAGCCACAGTTTGGGAGATTTTATGCTAGTATTTTCACCAGTTTTGTACTATTCTTCACCCATTCTGAGTAGTTTGTTCCAGGACCATTTTTCTGGACTCTCATGTAAAATTTCTCTGTGTAGTGGGAAAAGGCCTGACTTTTTGGTTTTCAAGCTATAATTCTAAATTTAAAAAAGATCGTGTTTTATTTTTCTAATCAAGGAAAGTCTCAATAAACATTCTGAAAAAATAGTTCAAAACTTGTACAAGTGATTCCACTCATGTAAAGTTCAAAACGGGCTAAACTAATCTAGGGTGTTAGAATGTTGGCTAGTGGAAAAGCTGATAATATTCTCATTTCTTATCTGGGTGCTGGCTGCATGGGGATGTTTACTTTATGAAAAATCACTAAACTATGTATTTAGGATTTGTGTTTTCTATATGTATATTACATTCAATAAAAAGTTTACTTAAAAGAAGAAAAAACTGACATAGGTGTCCACTAAGGCTAGAATTCATAACATTTGGGGGGTTCCTGAAGGCTGCAATGAATAGAGGCACTGTAAGCAAGGGTCAAGTTTTAATAGGAAATTAGGCTTTCTGGCTTCCTGGTTACTTTTTACAAGAGCATCAGGCCTTCCTTGTTTTAGACTATTGGAGAGAGACTTTGGAAGTCTATATTGTGATCTCTAAGTCTGCCCAGAACAGATGTGAACCAAGAAGGCAGTAAAGTCAGTCTGTTGGGAGTCCTCTCTGGTTGGTAAATGGGCTTAACCAGCAAGGCCATTTCATCTCCCCATTTTGTCCCATCCCTACTGACTTTCATGAAGTGATTTATAAAAAGAAAGCAGCAAGTCAATTATAATGGCAGAGAAGAAATACAAGACAGTGTTGTTCTTATCCAAAACACAGCCTTGGATAAAGAGTAAAATGTGGAATGCTACAAAGCTTGCAACTATGAGCCTGTGGACTACATGCTCTATTTCCAAAACCAGAGATTCATGAAATGTTTCTGGAAGTACTCCAGGCTAAATGTATTTGGATAGCTTACACATGTACTTAATTTTATTTATTTATTCACTGAGGTCTGACCTGGATACTTCATTTCCATTATGTCTGCAACATCTTATGGGTGACATTAGACAGTAGAGTGTTATTTGGAGAACTGCAGACTCTCAAAGATCTTTGGATTTTTTCAGAATGTCAACCATCTGTCTTAACTGTTTAATCATCCTCAGCATCACAGAAAACAAAGGTAGAAAGACAGATAACTTAGATCATAAAGCAATTCCATTTGTGATCTCCCACAGTAATAAACAGGCATCATTCTTTTAAAAATGCAAATATTTGTACTTTCTTTATCTATACTTGGGAGATATGCTAAAACTATCAGCTACAGTATTCAGTTATAGTGATTTATAGGTGCTTTCATAGATCAATACAATGTATTAGGCCTATGATTGTACCCAAATACAAGTAAATGTACCTCACATTACTTGATAGTCTTCAGATACCTGCCCTAGGACCACCTCTATAAAATCCTCCAGTGAGTGTAAAGGAAAGTCCATGAAACAAAGCAGGAATGAGTTCCTTGATCACGTATGACATTTGGCTAGTTTAACAATTTAAAGATGCTTGTTTTTTCGGCATTTTTAGGTTTCTGGCAAACTACAAGTAATTACATTCAATTTTGGGTATGCCATATTCTATGCTCTTTGATGTATAAGGTACTAAAAATAGTACTGGCAACTTCAGTATCATTACAAGATGTACTTTCCTAGAATTTTAACAGTGTATTTTGGTTACATCACTGGCTATATTCATAAATCCTAATGAAGGGGAGGTCTCTGTTGTATGCACTTTAATCACAGCTACTAAAAAAAATTGAGGATATTGAGATTATGAATTTGCCTTAGTTTTGATGACAGGTTTTGGGGGGTCCTGTAGAAGTAACACCACAATCACCCCATGCCCCTTCCTATATAACCCAGCACCTTTCCCTAATAAAGCGGAATTCTCCGGTGAATTGCTGCTGTGTGTCGCTCCTTCCTTTCAGGTTTATTTGTATTAAAATTTTTAATTTGTGTGATTTTGATTGCTTTAAAGTCAGGGACAGTGTAATTGTACTTCTTTGAATTTCCAGTACCTAGTTCAATATATAATCAAAACTCAGTAAGTTCTTATCACTGTTCTAAAGTCTTTCACATTTTTCTGCACACAGACATGAGACCTGGTTCTAATGTACCAATTTGAGAGAAAGGAGTCATAACTTAAGTGCAAAGCTTTTCTGGGGGGAGAGGCAAAGGGGAGAGTTTGAGGCATAGAACAAATATAATGGGACAACTGTCTGGTTATCTATACTTACTATTTTTATAGTCACATGGCCTACATGTAACTGCGCTACTTGAACGGGACCATTTACAAGACAGCACCTTTCATTTTAAAGCCTTAATCTAGACTCTTTCATTTCACTTTGTTACACTGAAGTAGTATTTTAATTTAAAATATTTACTGAAAATGTAAATGAATTAAGCTCACAGCAGGGAGAAACATCTATTTTATGATTAATTCTTTGAATGGCACAAGGAGTTTGAACACATTATGAAATCAGGTATACAATTTTTAGATTTTTCATCTGAACCCAATTTCGGATAGTGTTTGGCAGGAGGTAGGAGTAGGGGGAGGACAGGGGTATGTGTGTGCAACAGAAGAGTACACAGGGAGCCTCCAAAAGTGTGGATCCTTTTCTTAAGTTGGTGGTGGACAGTGGACACACAGGTGTTCACTGCATTATTCTCTTACACCTATTTGCATACCTGAAATACTGCACGTTCAGTTTTTAAAAGAAAAACGTGAAAAATATAATATTCACAGCTCTATTTGACTTCACATACTGACAAATACTGGAACCATTTACATCTAGTACACTTCACCAAGGGTGAAGAGAGAAATCTTTTTCCTCAGACTTAGGTGTTTTGGAAAAGCATAACAAAAGTAGAAATCAACCTCCTGGCCCTCTTTGATGGTTCTTGCTCCCAAAAAAGTCTGTTAAAAATCAAACATTGCGTTTAATTGCAAGTGCTATGTTAGCAGAATATGACTGGTACAAGAGCAGCAACAAGCCACCCCTCCAAGTGTAACTCTTCCGGGAAGTAAATTACCTCAATTTCCTGTAACTGCTCCTGATTGGTTGTGTACATATGCTGAAGCGAATCCTCCAACTCTGTGTTCCGATCCAGCAATGTTTTCCCAAGTTCAGCAGCAAGCTGGAGATCTAGCACAACAAGTGAATCTTAGAATAATGCAAATGACCTCACCTCAGCATTTTATATAACCCATCCTTGAAGAAGGAACCAAGACCCAACCCAACGTATACAGTTTTAAGTCAGATCCCCCAAAATGTGGAATGACACAGAAGGAAATCTGAATTCTACTTAAAATTCAGTCCAATTCAATGATTGTAATGGGGTATGTGGGGGGGCCTTGATAATAGGGGGAGTCTAGTAACCATAATATTGTTCAAGTAATTGTACAGTAACGATATAAAAAAAAAATTCAGTCCAACTGGAGCCCTCTACCAGACAACATACTCTTTTAAGTACCCTTACTTGTAAGATGCGAAGAATAATGATCCACTTTATGGAGGTACAGTCATTAGTTCAGGAAAGAGCATTCAGCATTTACAACTTCTCAGGTCATAATTATTTGTTAATGGGATTGGACTTGTTCGTATCCTGATTGTCTACTTTTTGGGCAGACCCTTGAGTCAAAGTACAGGCAGATCTTCCAATAGTCTCAAAAGTGCCCATGAAATGCAGCTGCTGTGAACATGACTATCAAAGCAATGTTTGCTGTTATAGATCCTAGAATCCTCCTAAGGCAACTAAAATATTAAGAGTAAAAATACATCAGTAAAAATAGACATACCATTTGACCCAGGAATTCCACTTCTAGGAATTTACCCTAAGAATGCAGCAGCCCAGTTTGAAAAAGACATATGCACCCCTAGTTTATCACAGCACTATTTACAATAACCAAGAGATGGAAGCAACCTAAATGTCCATCAGTAGATGAATGGATAAAGAAGATGTGGTACATATACACAATGGAATATTATTCAGCCATAAGAAGAAAACAAATCCTACCATTTGCAACAACATGGGTGGAGCTACAGGGTATTATGCTCAGTGAAATAAGACAGGCGGAGAAAGACAAGTACCAAATGATTTCACTCATATATGGAGTATAAGAACAAAGAAAAACTGAAGGAACAAAACAGCAGCAGAATCACAGAACCCAAGAATGGACTAACAGTTACCAAAGGGAAAGGGACCGGGGAGGTTGGGTGGGAAGGGAGGGATAAGGGTAAGAAAAAAGAAAGGGGGCATTGCGATTAACATGTATAGTGTGGGGGGGGGGCCACAGGGACGGCTGTGCAACACAGAGAAGACAAGTAGTGATTCTACAGCATCTTACTATGCTGATGGACAGTGACTGTAATGGGGTTTGTGGTGGGGACTTGGTGAAGGGGGAACCTAGTAAACATTATGTTCTTCATGTAATTAATGATAGATTAATGATAACAAAATAAAAAATAAAAAAATACATCAGTAATAAGAACACTGCCCTAGGTCTCTCATTTTTGCTACTTCTCTTCATGTCCTCCTCCCAGATGAACAAACCAGATAAGCAGCACAGCGAGTTTTTCAGGTAATGACACGTCAGTAGCTCATACTCTGATTTAGCACAAAACCACAATTCTATTTTAAACCTCATTTTTTCATAATACACAATCCCAGAAATAAAAATTAAATGATAAAAAAGAGGACACTAGTTCTAACATAGGTAACTGAGGTCCTTTAATATAGTGGGAAATAGAGTGAACTGAATAGGAAAATCTGAGATCCACTTCAGACTACCATTTACCAGTTAACACTTTCAATATGGTGACTTTAAAAGCCCCTATACTTAGTACTCTTGTCCAGAGAGACGATTATGCTATCAATATAAGACTGTGAAAATCAAATGGAATACATAAGGAAGTACTTCAGAAACTAAGCTGCAGTACAGAGGCAAAGTATTATTAGTATTCATTGATTCACAAATGAGTATTTTTATTGCTAAGCACTATGCTAAGCTTTGCTTACAGAATGGTATATGAAATGGATGAAGTTCCCGCTTTCCCGACCCTCCCAGATTAATGGAAGGAGCCAGAGAGCAAATAAGTAAATAAGCTTGCAAACTGTGATAAACACTTTTCATTCATACATGCATGCATGCATTCAATAATACTAGACACCATTCTGGGCACTGGGGATACAAGATGAACTTAGCTAAAAACATTCTCTGCTCTTATATTCCACTAGGAGAAACAGCATAATAAAATATATAATAGCAATAAAGAGAAAAAAAGGCAAGGAAGTGGGATAGGAAGAGCGTGGGTGTGGGAGGTTGAAATTTAAGAACATGTGACAAGGTGACATCAGAATCAAGTTGTGAAAGAACTGAATAAAATCTAGGAGACCAAAATTCCAGGCAGAGGCAAAACAATTGACAAGCACCTGTGAGGAAGTGGGACTGGAGCTAATAATAAGGAGGCCAACGAGATTGCAGCAAAGTGTGTGCAATGTGGGGGTGGGGGGTGGCACTCCAAGGTTGGCCTGCATGTGTGGGCCCTAATGATGTCAAGATTTGACTTTTACTCTGAGCGAAAGGGCACCTGGTGAAGGTTCTGACAGGATCACTCTGGTTGCTGTATAAGCAGAATGAAAGGGACAAAGGTGGAAGCAGGGTGGGTGACAGAAGGATACTGTAATCATCTGGTGGAGGGATGGTGGTGGCAGACATGGAGAGAAGGGGTGGCATTCTGGATATGTTCTAATAACAGGGCTAGAAGATTCATCAATTGAATGAGAGGAAAGTAAAAAAATGGATTTGCTGATAATAAACAAAGGACCTATTTTATTTTAGAAAGGGAGATTATAAGGAAAGCCTCTCTGAGAAGACAATTTAGCAAAAGCATGAAGGATAAAGATCTTGCAATGTAAAAAAAAAAAGGCACTGCAACAGGAAAGATATTAGATACTCTACAACCTGACAAAAGGCCAGTGTGACCAGAAGCATGAGGGGGAGAGGGGTGTGAGATGAAGATGGAGAAGTAGACAAGGGCAGATCAGACAAGATTTTATAGGCCATGGTAAAGAAAGTTGGAATTTTCTTTTGAGTTTGATGGAACGTCATTTCACTTAAGGTCTTATTATTTATTATGAAAGAAATATTATGAAAACAGTAAACCTCCCTACATATGACTTTTAAACTTAATTTTTAGAGGTATTAAAATAAGGTTTAATGTTAATTCATTATCAAGATATGGAAACTTAACCTAGAGTAAGTGGTAACAGAAAAGCAACAATTTTTGTTACATGGCACTGTCCATTCATGTACATAATCAATACCTGGTGAGTTTTCCCTCATTATGAAAAAACTACACAGCAATACCTACCACGCACCCCTCCAGCTCATTTGAAAATATTTTACACCCATTTAAAACAAAACAGTGTATATGTTGGTACACAGATGTTAAAATACATTCTCTCATGATTTAAATATCAATGATGCCTATTAATGTACTTAAGAGTTAGATAACAAGTCCATGAAATAACATCTTGTATTCACAAGATATAGAACCTTCATAGACAGCTCAAAACATTTAAGGGGCATTAATCTTATCTTTTCAAGGTAGGTCAGCCCAGATTTCCAAATGGGACAACCCGAAGCACCTGACCCGATGCTGAGTGACCTGACCAAACCTACATGGTGAGTCACAAGCAAAACAGAAGCTACTGTCTACGGCTTCCAGCTCCACTCTCATCAGGACTCTCTCTATTATCCAAATGCACACTGTTTTAAGTCTACTGGCAGGGATGTTCACGTATTTCTTCGTGTAAGGTAGAGAGTATGGTTTCCCGAGCTGTGGTACTTAATCTTTTCACGTGTTTTCACAGGCGGCAATGAGAAACTAGAGTTGATCTATTTGGCTTTTATTGCTTGCTCTGCCAGTGAAAACACATACAACCCCAGGCAAGTAAATATCTTGTTTTCACTAAATGAAAATGGAAATACGTATGGCTGAAGATATTCCAGAAATAATTACTCTGTACTCATAGGATGTATGATGTGTACACACAGCCCACCATGGAAGCCACTAAATTTATTAAAGACAAAGCATGTAAACATTAACCTAGACATTACTTAAGTCTCTTCTAGCCTGTTGTAAAGTGGTAATTCCTCACTGGGAATGAACAGAGACTCACCAAAAATGTTCTTTTTTTATTTAATTAATTAATTAACTAATTAATTAATTAATTTGTTTGTTTGTTTCTTTGTTCAAATTTTGGTATCATTAATCTACAATTACATGAAGAACATTATCTTTACTAGGCTTGCCCCTTCACCAAGTCCCCCCACCCCACATAACCCTTCAGTCACTGACCACCTGATTTTACACTGTAAGATGCTGTAAAATCACTACTTGTCTTCTCCCTGTTGCACAGCCCTCCCCGTGCCCCCCACACACTATACATGCTAATCGTAATGCCCTCTTTCTTTTCCCCCCGCCCTATCCCTCCCTTCCCACCCATCCTTCCCAGTCCCTTTCCCTTTGGTAACTGTTAGTCCATTCTTGGGTTCTGTGATTCTGCTGCTGTTTTGTTCCTTCAGTTTT